AACTGCAGTGTTAATAAATGTAATAGGCCTATACTAAAATCTGATGACAAGTATGATTAATTATAATAGTAGTCTGTCAGCTTAAAAAAAGGCATAAAAGTTGTTGTTGTAACAAGATTACCACTGTTTGTTGTGTTCCAGCCAGCTTAATGAACTCTGGATTGAATGAAACAAATCATTAACAATGGATAGAGCAAACATAGGTTGGTTGGAATACTGCTATTATACACTCATTTAATTCTTGAAAATCCTTAAGGGACTAGATAAAGAAAGCGCTTAACACTAATGTCTGGAGATAAGTATAATTGATTATAACCATGGTTCATCAGCTTGAAAAAAAGCATTCACATCATAACAGAATTGAAATTTTCCATACTAGCTACAGTAATGTTTCACTTTTACAGTGGTACCAGTTAACTTTTTTAAAAGTTGGCTGTATGACACTAGAATAAAATTTTCAGTATTCTTTACATGAAATAAAAGACTTCCAATATAATAATATAGTATTTTGGATAAATTAATGTTGATCATACAGTTCAAAGTAACCTACACAAGTCAAGTTTAAAATCTGTAAATGATTAGCTCAGTCAGGTTATATATAATCCAACAATTTTAAAGCTTATACCTTTATTTCCAGTCATGTGGATGATATGAAAATAAAAAAAGAGTCAATAACAAAGATTTCAAATTTTTTGACTAAAATTAGTTGTAATTATTTATAATCATACTTAGAGAAACTATAGCATTGGTAAAGATAATGCCTGTTTTCAATTTTTTTTTAAAAGCCATTACTTTTACAGTAACACTACTTTCATTACACTTATTTCAGACATCAAAAATACAAAAACATCCCTCTCACAAAAATCTAACTTCTAAATAGTAAAAAATCTATTCTGTAACAAGTCTACACGATAAAAGTTGTTGATGTCCTAAACAATACTAACTTTAATGAAAATAAATCTCTTACGGTCTAGACACATTCATAAAGTTTCTGTAAAAAGACAAGGCATAAATATTTACCATGACATCATTTAATAAACTTTTATATTGTTGTATTAGCTTAGAAGTAGTCATTTACTGGCTGAGTCCTTAACTGGATTGCTGTAGACTCCAGCTGTGTTGATTTCAGTAAAACCTCAAAAGATTTTATGATAATTAATAACCTAATCAAATAAAAACACTCTAAGGTAGTGTATGGACATCTGGCTGTTTATACTAATTCCTGAAAAGAATAGATCTGTGCCTACTTATACAACATTAAATAATAAATTAATTTCTCAGAGAGGAGGTTTTACCCCCTGAATCCCTTCCCCTATATTCAAGGCTGTATATAAAACATTTAAAGATAACAGTTATTAATTCTTGAAAAAAAATGGAGGGGGTTCAGACTCCTAGACCCCCTCTTGTAGATCTATGCCCACTTATACAACATTAACTAATACAGAATAGATGGAATTACATAATTATAAATCATAAACATAACACAAGGGGAATAAAACCATAAATTTACAATTTACTTAAACCTAATTACCTGGAGACTTGGTAATGAGCGCTAAAAGCCTTCATTCTAATCAGCAGTTCAAAATTAGTGATGGTAGCAAGTTTAGTGGCAATAGGAACTGAACTCAAGACTGTCAAATCATGAAGCATCCCCCCACCCCCCAATATGTAGCTTTGTGTTAACAACAAACAAAAATATAATGGTAATATTTCAATTACTTGGATAGTTGAATAATCAAAAATACTAAACAACTGGAAACCCTAATTTCAATTACTAACTGTAATTTATAAATAACTCAACATTAATAAGGATATTTAAATGAAATGAAGAAGAATATGATAATTTTAAACTACAATAATTTATAATAGAAAATATAACACTTAGCTCCGTAAAACAGATGCTTTGCATCTTTTTAATTTAATACAACATAATTTCTTTAAGATAAAGTTACATATTTTCCTTAACAACATTTTTTAGCTAAGAAGAGTTAAACTGTAAACAGTTTTTCCAGTGAGGGCTAATTAGTGATTTGTATAAAAATAAAAACTCTCTTTTGACTTGTGATCAGTATGTCTATAAATACTCCCCAAAATTTTATTAGCTTTACTACTATTAACAGAGCACTGCCCCAACAGCTTAAGTCACCTGTATATCACTAAACCAAAACCCTTTTCTGCACTTGGTTCCCATCTATATTACCATAACCCAAATGCATTACCTTGCACTTACTATAATAAAGACCATTTGCTAAATATTTGTCAACTTGCAACTTGAATAATGCCATTCAGTTAGTTATACCTCAACATCCTCAATACAGCTAGTAATACCTAAGACTTTAATGTTATTACTAATGTAAACAAGAAATGCAAGGGTTCAAACAACAACCCCCGAGACATTCCATTAATAACAAACTTTTGCTTTCTCTCATCCAACTATTATGCAATCCAATTAACTACTATTGTGATTTTTTTGCAGCTAATCTTCTGTGTGATACCTTATCAAAAGCTTTTTGAAAATCATAAGTACACTTAAGTCCTCACTCCTTTCCTTCATCCAAATAACATGTAACATCAACCAAAGAAAAAACAGATTAGTAGTAAGGCAAGATTTCCCTTTGGTGAATTTTGTTGGCTTTCACTGATCATATCATGTTACACTAAATTATTTTGTAAAGTCTCCTTAGAATCCTTCCCACTATAGAAGTTAAACCGATTTATAATTTTCAGAGCAACTCTTATTACCCCCTTTAAAAATAAGGGAGTAACATTAGCAATGCTCCAATCGTCAGGAAGTTGCCTACTGACCTGAAAGATAGAGGTTAAATATCTTATCTTTAACCTCTTTTAAAATTCTGTATGCAAAATGAGAATAAGTTTCGTTCAAAAATTAGGTATTTTCATTTAATTTTACCCTGGTACACATACTTAAGCTAATACTGCATCATCTTCAGACTACTTTTGACAACTGTAAGACTAAAGAATACTGAGAAATACTTTCGACATATAATGGATATATTCAGAAACTAATAAAATTTCTACGAACATAACCTACGGACAACAAGGGACCATTAGATCTTTCTTTGTACACCCACCCGTTGGAAAAGTAACAAATTTAAACCCACCCTTTACTTTTCAAGAAATCATCAATTTATTTTTTAACTCTTGTAAGTAGTAGGCCCCTCTATTGTTGATGATAACTCATTTCATAACTGAAACTTAGCCCACCTTTTCCAAATCTTAACCTTGTGTCCTCTCATCCAATTATTTTCAGAATATAGCACAAAAAATCCAGAGGCCTTTATCCTATCAATCACCTAGATAATCTTGAGAAAATAATTTTACAAGAGAAAATATTATAGCAATTCCATTCATGGAATTGTCCTAGTAGTCCTCATCTAAGCCTTATCTAATAATTCATTAACCTTTCTTAGATATGGAGACCAAAACTGTATACAGTATTCCAAGTGAAGCCTAACTAGTGAATTATACAGAGATAATTACTGCTTTTGACATGCAATCACAATTTCTATAAATACACCCTAAAAGCCTAGTGGTTTTATTAATAATAGCAAAAGTACTGCTTTAATGGCTTGTGTGTGTTGTCCACTACTATGCCATGACATTTTTTTTTTGGTCACACTACTGAGTGGGTTCCTATTTAAATTAGCATATCCAAATTATGATAACAAAAATGCATTATCTTATACTTACTATAATTAAAGATCATTTGTCAAATATCTGTCAAACCTAACAAGTGATTCTATAATACTTAAATGTTCTTTACACCCAGAAATACTTAAGAGTTTAAATTTAATGTCATTGGGAAAACTTTCCTAATTACATCAATATCAATGATGTAAGTAAGCAAGATCAAAGGCTCAAGCACTGACCTCTGAGATACTCCACTAGTAACAAGGGTCTCGTCTGACTGGACTCTATTAATAAGTCTTTTTCTTTCTTCAATCCAACTATCCTACAGTCCAATAAACTAGTCTTTCCCTAACCCCTACAATGTGAAGCCACTCTTGTGTATGTTACTTTATAAAAATCTTTATAATAATCAAAGTAGACAAGTCCACACTCTATGACCAATCAGAATTATCAAAACAATAGTAATGTCAATACTCTTGAACTGCAAAACTAAACGGGTCTGAACATTTAATATGCTTTTCTTACAGCTCCTAGAAAGAAGACTTCAAAGCTCTATGTTAATTCACAAAAAAAACCGTTAAAATTCCTATATTACATAAATGGCTCAACATGTCTTAACCTTACACAAACAATTTTCAAGTCTTCATTTATTCCATTTCTATTTAGTCTGTCTATACTCTTGTGACTTACATATACTCCACATTTAACTGTACTAATTATCATATGAAAATGGTATTTGTAATACTGTTAATAATAATATTGATACTATTAAATTATCAATGAGATGTAAATTAATCGCTGTATCAACTTTTATTTTCAGTCTACATCATCATCAGTATAAGTGACTGGTAATATTACTTTAGAGTTTACTTCAAGATCAAGTTAAACAGAATGTGCTACTGTACATTGTACACACTACAATTACCAGTATACTTTAGACTGTCACGTAGTATCGTTTCATTTGCATTTTGTTAACTTAGGTAAATATTATTTTTTTTATTCCATCATACCAGTGAGAAAAATTTTGCCCAATTGGATCTCTAAGAGTAGGCCTACAACAGTACAAGTCAACGAATACCTTGCGGTGGATCTCAGCACATTTATTATAAATCTTATAATAATTAATAGAATTTAGAAATACAGCGTAATTGTGAATAACTTCTAACTACAAGTTAACCAAGTCCGAGGCGTTAACTCAAATCGTGGTACACTGCTTAAAACCATGTAATGTAATTTTCATAAGACTGTTTAAAAACAATATGTAAACGCTACACGATTTAAATGTGCAATATCCTACCGTATCTTCAAAGCACCATATACTTAAACATAACCATATTTGAAAAACTCACTTCGAACCCTTTCCACCGAGCCATAGTACAGTGTAATGGCACCCGGATGTTGTGTTTTGGCACTTCTTGTGACATCTAGTGGAAGTTAAGAATAATTCAAAACATTATGGGTATATTTTTCATTGTAACAATTGAAAATGTTAACTGAAAGCATTTTTCTACTTATAGGAGTAGCAGATGAAGTAACTATTAATTTCACACTTCCATAATTAGTATATAATATATCTTTGTTCGGGAATATTCAGGACATTTTTCGAAATTTTCGTACAGGCAGTTGCGACGTCTTGGAGGCTCTAAGTATACACTAATACCCTGTAAACGTTTACATATTACAACAACTGTTCCATATAAGTTTGTACCTGCTTGGCCCTGTGTCTGTGTCTGCACCCTTCTTTCTCTCTCTCTTACAAATTTCTGTTTTGGAACCATCGTTAACGTTTGATATATAAACATACCGTGATTTTCTACCTTCTTATTTTAATACAGTGTTATTCTAAATTTATCAGTTATTCTGTATATGTGTAGTCTTCACATAACACGTACCCAAAAAAGTCATTACGGTAATTTCCTTCTCGTTCCTTTGCCATTCTGTAGATATAACATATATTATGCTTATTGGTGGGATAAATACAATGCTGCAAGTAGTACAATAATGAAGACAATTTATGCCCTACAATTGAGTAGGTGGTATCTCAAGGTTATAGCATATCCTATGCTTGACTGAGAATGACCAATCACATGGGCAGCTCTAGTCACTGTGGGTAAATCCAACATTATCTGCAATGTAGGAACATTGAGTTTGGAAAGCCTGTAGATTATCTTGGTCTGATCACTTTGAAAGGAAGTTACCTGATCCAGCACAAGCGACAGTCCCATCCCTAGAAAAGCAAAAGCAACTGTCCAATATATATATATATGTGTGTGATATAATAAGGATTGTTCATTTGCGCATTTTACTGTGTCCAGTCTTTTTACTTCGTGCTCACAAACTCAGTTACTCAAATATTCAGTACAACCTTTTAATCAATATCTTGTTAAACCTCTCGTTATTTAGTGGACTTACACCATTTTTCTCTGGTTGACTTGGTTTTATTTAAATATATGACATATGTAGATAACCTAATAACTGTAGAATACTGCCAGAGGGCATGGTGTAACTTGAAAGTTTGATATTTCATTAATCTTATTGAAGTTCTTGTCCCATGCAGACATGCATTATTCTTGATTTTGACTTTGTCTTGTGTTAACAGGTTTGGAAATCCTTCTGCTTTAGCATGCATTAATAGTCTTACTATAAAAGAGAATTTGGCCAGTAAGTTAAGATTTACACTGTTGTGCATTAAGATATTGTTTGTAAGTTTATTTGTATTATTTCTCCTTTGGCAAAAGTCCTCCAATGAGCCAGTGGCAAATTTACGAACTAACAACGCTAAAATCCGGGGTTCGATTCCCCGTGGTGGACACAGCAGATAGCCAAGTATGGCTTTTCTCTAAAACAAACTTATGACAAAAATGAGTAATTGTGGCACTGAGCACCCTAAACATTTAAAAAAGTATCGAAGTTATCACTCCAAAGTCTCTTTGGAGACTGGGAATGTTGCAGGATGAATTAAAAGAACCATTAGAGAGTGCTTGGTCGTCTCCATTGATGACTGTCAGCAGAAAGGAAAAAGCACTAAGGTTTTATGTAAGCTTTAGACATTTGAAAACAATAAATACCTTTCATTTATTATGTATTAATGAATGTCTAGATTTGATGAAGGCACCCATTGGTTCAACACCCTAAGCTTCTTGTTACTAATAAGTTGAACTGAATGATGAAAGTAGACAAACCTAAGACTGCTTTCAGCACTCAGGAAGGACTGCATGACTTCTGATATATGTCATTTGATTTATGTAATGCATCTCCCACTTTTCACGAGTCTGATGGTGCTTACACTTACAGGATTACAAAGGAAGATATTTCTCATTGTGTTAATAGCATATCAGTCTTTGATTGTACATTTCAGGTCACAGCAAGAACCTGACTATGGTATTCCAGTACATCAAGGATGAAGACTTGTAATTTAAATCAGGAAAGTGTACATTAATGCATAAGAAATATCTCAGTTATGTAGTTGATATAGTAGAGAAGGATAGAATTTCAACCAGTCCTATGAAGCTTACAGTGGTCAGAAACTAGCCCGAGTTTGAAACTAAGTGGGAAAGCTGCCCCTTTCTAGGTTTTACATTGTATTATTGATGGTTTGTGCTCGACTTATCCAAGATAGCCACACCACTGTCTGCATTGAATAAGGTCAATGGAGTCTTTATGTGGACAAAAGAATAAGAAGACATTCCAGTCACTGAAGAACACTCTAGTTAAAGCATCACCAGTGCTGTCTAATGCTCATCAAGACTGCCCGTATATCTTGAATATAGATACAAGTGATAGTGGAATTGAAGTGGTTCTGTCACAGGCACAGTATGATATTGAAAATGTAATTGCATATACAGGCCATACATTAACTGCTCCTGAATGCTGTAACAAGTAAGGAATTGCTTGCAGTTGTAATGTTTTTCAAACATTACTGCAACTACTATTATGGGAAGAAGCTTGACATTCAAGTGGACCATGCCTCACTAAAATAGCTTATAAACTTCAAAACTCCAGAAGATATGATCACACATTGGATAACGAAATGAGTATAAGTTTGTTGTACAACACTGCTTGAACCATAAACATAGTAATGTCAATGGATTATCTCCCTAGACTTTCAGATCATATCCATTTGTTGAGTATTCAGATGCTGGATAGTGTACAGCAGTCAAAGCCATTGCAGTACAGTTCTAATGAACCATATGAGTGGTGAACATTATGGATTTAGATGGACACCACAAATGACCAGTTATAAACTTAGGAAAGAGCAAATAAAGGACCCAGACATAGCTTAGGTATGTTACGTATCTGCTTGTTTGTTTCTGGTAGAAATTCTTTCTGAGGATCTTCAGCAATACAAGTCATTTCTTGATTAAACCAGTTTATTCTTCGTCGATACAAACATTTAGTACACAGTAATTCCACAGTCAGTACGTTTCTCGTAACTTTAAACTTAACAACTTTATAATACACACTATAAATCACAGAGATTCACAATCTCGATAACTTTGCTCTCTACAAGTGCAAAACACACGATAGCCCGAAACAGAATTGTAAATTATCCAAACTCAACGTAAATACTGTTCGCTTTATCATCCCCTGGCTTTTCTCTGCCAGGTATATATACTAACGAAGAGGCATCTCCAAAATTCGCGAAGTTCCTCGATAATTCGAGAAATTCAGTCACTCATGCGCCAACAGCATCACCTGACTTCCGCTGTCGTAACAGGTACATCTTGCTGTGCAGCAAAGTAAAGTGAGACTATCAAAAACTGGAAAAAATCATATTTGCATGTAATATCAGGCACTTGTTTTGCATTCATAAGTTATTATACAAGTGCCTGATATTTTTATGAGTCACTGAGACATGGTAGCCAACCTTTGATGCATTTAATCATTTTAATGGCACCCAGAGTTCTATTGCAGGAGATATGTCAGACTGCATAGTCATTTAAAAGTACTCTCATTTGTCTAGAGTACACTGTAGAAACATCAGAGTAAATCATGGATTATTTCTGGCAAGACTCGACAATTCTAATAAGTGAATTTTCATTTTACTTTAACAGTACTTTTTTCAGCAATCTATAATATTTTCTCTCTGAATTTCACATAATTCACGGTTTTGTGAAATCTTTCCAATATTTCTTATCTACAGATGGTTAATTGAGACATTACTAAAAGTTTCAGAACACTTCTGGAGTACAGAAAATATTAAAATTATTTTCTGTATCTAGTCTATCTACCTGGCCGTTCACTGTATCAATACTCATTAGTTTCTCTTGAAAAGTATGCTGATTAGACAAGACCACATGTGTATGAGGTGTTCAGGTATATCTGAATCACTTCTTGGATTCTAGTGGTTAGCATCTTAGGCGCAAAGATAGGTAGGTAGGTTCTGCTGAAGTATAAAATGGGTTATTGTTTTATTATATTTGATGGGTTTTAATGAGCTTTAAATATAATCCTCAATGAAAGTAAAGCAATAAAAATCGGTTGTTCAGCTTAACATGCTTCAATTTTGTGGATATTAACTTATTTCACAAAAGGAAATTTTCAAGAAAAGATACTTGTAGATTCGTACAAATTTAAAAGTATCTAAGTTTTTAAAGTTAAATGGTGTGTTTACACTTGTACACAAAGAAATTGAGCAACATTGCTTAGACACCAATATTTGGTTCCAAGGTTTGTTTGTTTTTGTAATTTCGTCGC